ACGAAATACAAAGAATATCTAAAAACAAAATTGATGAAAAGTTTTTTTATTTCTTGAACTCATTATATATATGTATAAAATTAGTATATTAAGTATTTAATTTAGTTTTAATAAAAATCTCAAGTATCCGAAAGAACATTTATAATATATTAAGATTTGATAAATCAGATAATTAAAATTCGGGAAGAAATAATTTATTAAAAATATAATTTTTATTCAAATTACTTTCTTTTACAATTTTTTTTTCACATTTTGTATATATTCGCTTAATTCATTTAAAAATAATATGTGTGAAATCTAATGATTATCAGTCTCAACAAATAGTAAGTAATTAACAAAAAAAATTATAGAAATAAAAATTCAAAAAGAGAATATAAATATTTAATATTAGAAAATATCGAAAAATTAGATAATATTAGAAAAATATCGAATAGATTAAAATCCTGGATAAGATGCTAACTGTATTTACTTATAATTTTCATTTCTATTAAAAAAAAAATTGTATAAAAATAATTAATATAATAAATAACAAGCATTTTTTATACATTTCATATATTTTTCTTTTTTCCAAAAAATAAAAAATAAAACTTTCTTGATTGCTTAATTATATTATATTTTTATTTATTAATTTAATTATATAATATATAATTATATTATATGTACATAATCTAATATCATAATCTCTAATATTATATCTTTTATTATTTTATTAGAAATATAAAATAATTATTTTTTAAAATAATATATTAAATCAATAGTTAATTTTAACTTGTAATAACATATATATGTGTGTGTGTGTGTATATATATATAGATAACATATGTATAACGTATGGTATTAACAATTAAAATTGTATGAACTTATATATATTAATATTTATTTATATTATATTATTATCTATTATAATTAATTTATTTTTATATTAAATAGATTATATTAAAAATAACACTTTCATTTAATAATCTTAATATTATTCATTATTGTCAATGTTCCTCCAGTTTACAATATTATCGTTTCGGCTTTTTTCCCATTATTTTGCGTTTATCTCTCACGCAAGTAAATTATAGAACTTTAGGTGGAAAAGAGAGAAAAAGGTAGAATTTCGCATTTCTCTATTCGTGTATATCCATAGAAACACATGATATACACGTAACAGAGCAAAGAGAAGAGTCGGGTTGCACATTCATGTAAACCTAATTGCCATTTGCATAAATTCGATTAGACTCAGATCCCGGGTTATTAGCAGTCATGAAAGTAAAACGTTACAAAATAGGACGCATGAATAATAAACTCCCGAAAAGAAATTTGGGATAAACTGGACATTGTAAATGCGGAAAATCGTAATGTTGCGACCAGCAAAATAGACAGAGAGCGAAATCCAAATCACGGTTAAAAATCACGAAGAAAAAATTAATAAAAAGAATAGAGAAAAAGGAGGATTTCTTTTTAAGAAAAAATAAAGAAATAATTGAATGAGGATTATGTAGAAAATATTAGATTCCGTTATTGTTAATCAATAGAATGTAAATGATAATACATTTATGGAAAATTATATTTTTTTTGTTAATTTATTTTACAAATTTTTTTTGTATTTTGCATTTTTATTTTGTATGAAATTTTTGTTTCATTTGAAAATTTCTAATTAATCGATTGCTTCCTTAATAACTTAATAATCGATTATCAATTTTTTTTATAAGATCAAATTTATTATTTTATTACTTGTTAATTGGAATAAATGTATAGAAATTATAAAAAAATATATTATATTGATTTCAAAGTTAGAAGAGCTAATTATATAGTATAAAAATACTAAAAAAGTTTTTTCATGTTATCATTTTATAATGATAATAAATTATCATGCGAATAAATTATTATTGTAATTTTTTTCCGTTATCATTAGAAGAATCAATCTGAAGATGTTATGTCATTTTCGTGCAACTCTAAACTATAATTGTAGAGTTGACTACAATTGAAATTGATATAGTTCGTCTGATATCTCATGATATGTATCAATATGTTCGCAAAAGTATCTGTAATAAAATTCGTTTTAAAGTTCTTTGCAAGTTTTTATCGGCTTCTGCCCATTTACCATTTTTTGCAAAAATCGAACATAGCGATAGCTTGTCTTGGGGACACCATGACAAGATTACTTCGTATACATTGCGGCCATGTCGATGTAATGCGATTTTAACCAAATAATAATATT